AAAAAAAAAAAAGGCAGCAGCAGCAGCAGAAAAAAGAAACGGGATTCTTAAGATTGAGAGTCTTTCAAAAAATAAAAATTAAGAAAACAGGAATGGGATTCTAACACGTTTTCAGGCCTCCTTAGAGCCTTCAGCCAATTCACTCACATGCATCACACACATCACGTGGCATTCCCCAGACCACCCCTTCTACCCAGAGAGCCTGGAGGGTCCAGCGTTTCTTGCGTTAGGTCCCTGCAGGGGCACAGCAGGCTCAGGGCCCCATTGTTCAACCAGAGGCCCGATCCCACAGTGGCCGGATGCAGATCCAGGGCCCAGGCCTCCTCTCCCACCTGTCTTCTCTCTTTGGTGGCAGCAGCTCCACTTGTCCCCACGGAAGATGCCAGGGTGGTAGGAGCCCAGCAGGCCGGTGTTGTTGATGCTCACCTTCCGCAGCGCAGACAGCCACTGGTTCAGCTCATTTACACACTGAGGGGACGTGGAGGGGGAGGCCTAGTCAGAGGTCACGTCCTCCAGGAAGCCCTCCTAACCTGCAGCTCCTATACCACACCCGACGCCATGTTCCCCACCACCCCAACACAGCAGCTTTGAGTGAATTAGGAGAGGCTGCCCTTCCTCCAGGGGAACGTAGCCCGCACCTGGCACATGGCCTGGAAAGCAGGTGAAGTAGATCACTCCTATAATCCTAGCACTTTGGGAGGTCGAGGCAGGAGGATCGCTTGAGCCCAGGAATTCAAGACCAGTCTGGGCAACACAGCAAGACCCCATCCTCTCCTCTCCCACCTGTCTTGTCTTGTCTTTTTGGTGGCAGCAGCTCCACTTGTCCCCGGTGTGGGCCGGATTTCAGCTGCTGCTGGCCCCTTGGCCATGCTCCTAGGTATTCCAGAACCCACCAACTATATTTGGTGGCCCTGATATCATTACTTTTCCCTGTGGCTCTGGACCCTGACACAAAAGGGAAGCCCTAGAGGGAAGGGCCCGGAGGAACAGGTCTGTGACTTCCTCCCCACCAGCCCAGGACAGTCACGCCCAGAAGAAGCCACCCCCTCCAGCTGCAGGCTTCCTACTCATCCCATGCGTTTCTGCCCTAGAGATGCATCTGAGTCACCCTCCTACAAGGTACCTGCTCGAATGCCACCCATCAGAGGTCCTCCCTGACCATGTTGTTGTTATTTGAGACGGAGTCTCTCTGTCACCCAGGCTAGAGTGCAGTGGCACGATCTCAGCTGATTGCAACCTCCGTCTCCCAGGTTCAAGTGATTGTCCTGCCTTAGCCTCCTGAGTAGCTGAGGCTACAGGCACCTCCAACACACCTGGCTCATTTTTTGTATTTTTAGTAGAGCCAGGATGGTCTCAATCTCCTGACCTCATGATCCACCTGCCTTGGCCTCCCAAAGTGCTGGAATTACAGGCGTGAGCCACTGCACCTGGCTTCTCACTACCCTTTATAGGGCAGACCGCTCCCTGCTACCCCCCACTCTGTTCCCTTTCTCGCTCCCTTAGTCCCTTCTGGTTCCCTTCAAGTCACTGTCACTATTTGACTTTTTGTTTTAAGAGACAGGGTCTCACTTTGTCACCCAGGCTGGAGTGCAGTGGTGTGATCATAGCTCACTGCAGCCTCTAACTCGCTGCAACCTCCAACTCCTGAGCTCAGGCAGTCCTCCTGCCTCAGCCTCCTAAGTAGCTGGGATCACAGATGCATGCCATCATACCTGGCTAATTTTTTATTTTCTGTAGAAATGGGGTCTTGTTACATTGGCCAGAATGGTCTCAAACTCCTGGCCTACAGCAATCCTCCCACCTCAGCCTCCCAAAGTGCTGGGACTATAGGTGTGAGCCACCGTGCCTGGCCCGACATTTGAAACATGTATTTATTGGCCCATCTTCTCCCCATATCAGCTCCACAAGGGCAGGACTCTGTCCTGTCTGCCACTGCATCCCCTCACCTAAAGTCATGCCTGGAACCTAGGAGATGCTCAGTAAGCGTTTTTAAAATAAATGAATGAATGAAGGAAGGAAGGAATAAATGGGAAAGTTATTTGAGAACATGCACCCAGAGCCACAGAGCATAATGTTTGATTATTAGGCGTTGATCCAGGTGCCAGCACAGACTTTCTTTTTTAGAGACAGGGTCTTGCTCTGTTGCTCTGGCTAGAGCTCTGGGATTACCGGCATGAACCTGCATGCCTGGTCCCCATCTCAGATATCTGGAAATAGTTTCCAACAAACGGATGCAACATGCAATTTCAGATCACCGGGATGCACCTGTCCGTGTACTGGCCCACACACAGACCTACACATGATGCCCAGGGAAAGACATGGGCCATGGCCTCCTGGTGGCTCAGACCCCAGACAACACACACACCTGGCCCCCACACCTCCCAGATCAGACATACCCTGCTGTGCCTGATGTACCTGGTAGGGGTGAGAGGCTCAGCTCCCTTTTCATACAATCCACTCTGGCCACTCTCACGGTACCCAGGCCACGCCCACAGTGCCCAGGCCTCTCCCACAGCACCCGAGCCATTCCCAGAGCACCCAGGTCACTCCCACAGAGCCCAGGCCACCACTCCTACAGTGCCCAGGGCATTCCCACAGCACCCAGACCACTCCCACAGCACCCAGGCGACTCCCACAGAGCCCAGGCCGCTCCCACAGAGCCCAGGCCACTCCCACAGCACTCAGGCCGCTCCCACAGCACCCAGGCCGCTCCCACAGAGCCCAGGCCACTCCCACAGGGCTCATGTCACTCCCACAGCACCCAGGCCGCTCCCACAGCACCCGGGCCACTCCCATAGGGCTCATGCCACTCCCATAGTACCCAGGCCACTCGCACAGGGCTCATGCCACTCCCACAGCACCCAGGCCACTCCCACAGAGCCCAGGCCACTCCCACAGGGCTCATGTCACTCCCACAGCACTCAGGCCACGCCCATAATGCCTAGGCCCCACCCACAGCACCCACTCCCCTCCCCGCACCTTGCACTGCAGGTAGGCAGTCTGGGGCCTACCGGCGTCGTCTGTGTAGATGACCTGCATGACGTGCGAGCTGCCAAAGCTCTTTTCCTCCACCTTTTCGGCTGCACGGATGTTGGCTAGCTTGATGAGGGCGCTTTTCTGAGGCACGGAGGGAGGAGGAGGGTCAGGGACCTAGCCAGGGCCATTCCATTTCCCATCTCTGGGTCTCAGTCTCCCCTTCTGCAGCACCAGGGGTAAGTGTGGGAGACCCAGAGTGACCTCAGCCAGGGCAGAGCACAGACTGACGGCGACCAAGTGCCCAGCAACTGGGAGGGGAGGATCTGGCCTCTCAGGGGGGTGCTCCCAGCAGGCCTGGGAGGTGTGAGCTTTGGGGTAGTGTCTAAACAGCCAGCATTCCCGGGGCTACAAAGTCATGCCAGCCGGGGCCAACACTGTGTGACTTTGCATTTAGTAATTTTCCAACTTGCTTTTGTAGTCCCAGGCTCTAAAATTCCCATATCCCATCCCCTGTCCCCTCCTTTCTTATCTTCCTCCTGCCATGATCAAATCTGACGGGAAGCTCAGAATCTAAAATACGCATGTCCTGAAAAGGCCCCCAACCCGCTAATGCTGAATCTACACTTCCAGCCTCCGTTAGGCCCTCCTTTTCTTTTCTTTTCTTTTTTTTTTTTTTTTT